CGCTACTGATGTTTTTTGTGACAAGCATGGACAGTTAGTCCTGTGCTGAGAGACAGGCTTCAGCATAATTTCTTAGTAAACGATGAATAAAATGCTTTGATAAACCAACCACCATCATCTATTACTTTTTTGGGTGTTGCTGCAGGGGTGGTTGAACTCTGTCAACTTACAAAGCAGTTCAAACAAGCAAGCAGAATGTTTTTATTTTTTCTCAAGTATCATCAATACACTTTCACTAGTAAAAAAAAAATTAGCAGTGGTTAATGGGAGGATCTACTCTTAGAGATTTAAAAAATTCACATAGTTATTGCTTATACTTTAGATTTAAAGCCAGTCAAATTTACAAGTTAATTTAAATAGTGCTGTCAAAAATAACACATCAACAGTTTATACTCCAGTTGTAAGTTGATACCAGTTATTTCCTACGGAAAAATAATGTTGTATTAACCTGGATGGAAATGGAACACATTATTTTTGGTAAAGCATCACAAGACTAGAGAAGCAAGATTTCTATGGACTCAATTCTGATATGAGTACAATTGATGACCTAGTATACAGGGCAGGGTGGGGGAAGGGGGTGCCAGGAGAGGGAAGGAGGGTGGGAGTGGGGGTCATAGGGGATGGGGATGGGTCACAATTATAAGAGGGATTTTTACCTAACAAATGCAATCGATGTAACCTGGTTCTTTGTACTTTCAGTGAATCCCCAACAATAAAAAAAAAAAGGAAGAAAAAGAAAAATTAATGCAGTAGCACCTGTGGCTCAGCGAGTAAGGTGCTGGCCCCATATACCGAGGGTGATGGGTTCAAACTCGGCCCTGGCCAAACTGTGACAAAAAAGTAGCTGGGCATTGTGGTGGGTGCCTGTAGTCCCAGCTACTCGGGAGGCTGAGCAAGAGAAACACCTAAGCCCAAGAGCTGGAGGTTGTTGTGAGCTGTGTCGCTATGGCATTCTACTGAAGGCTACAAAGTGAGTCTCTATCTCTAAAAAAGAAAGAAAGAAAGAAAGAAAGAAAGAAAGAAAGAAAGAAAGAAAGAAAGAAAGATTAATGTAATTGGAAATTAGTCAGAGTCACTTGTCCAAATGCCAGCACAATTTTCTACAGCATACAAAAGGCCTTGAGAGATCCTATCGAGCTTCTCTAGGCCTCTGATCCCATCCATATAAATCTCCCACCATCTCTCTTTGTGCTTTTCTTCCGGAGATCTCCCTAAGAGAGGTTCAGTGCTGGGCATTCCTAAATGGCTATCTATTAAAACGATATTTCTCCTTCAGTGCCAATTACTAAGGAGGCTGAGGCAGGAGGATCCCTTGAGCCCAGGAGTTCAAGGCCAGCCTAGGCAACATGGCGAAACCTCTGTCTCTTAATAAAAAGAAAACTAAACTAAATTTCTGTGTGGTGTCTTCCTGTTCTCACCTTCCCAACCGTGACAGATTCTCTAAGCATTTCTAGCTGCTGCCATGAAATCAGAACACAGTTTTCCCAATGAATCCAAGAGCATGAAAAACAAGCTAAACTTGCTTTGCTCCTTTTTTAATGTCACTATTTCTTAAGTAGTTAAGAAAGCTCATTAAGGAGGAAGCCTTTACAAAGCTTAGCCTTCCAGCAAATTCATCACCTTGTGAGTATTCTGTACACACCTTCCATACCTCCCTGCAAGAGATCTTAGATTCACAAGTACCAGGAATATCACAACCTTCCCTGCTCTTTCCCAGGTCAGCTGTGGGCACAAACAGCTTCTCTTTGCTTTGATATTTTGTTCCCAGTGGCTAAGCACATTCTGCCAACTCCATCAGGCTGAGAAAAGAGTGCTTTGGGGACTGTGAAGTGTGTTGACTTGCTGGAAACCTAACCCATCAGTACCCGTACCCCACCCCCAAAAAGAGATTTCTGAAAAAGCAAAAGATAAATGGAGAATTTTTTTTACTTGAATCCACATTTACTACCATCTTAAATACAGGTGTTAAATACATCCATTTGATTTTTTTAGACCATTAGCGTCTAGGTGACAAAGGAAGTCAGCCTTATACTTCTGAGTCTTGTCATTCTTAAAGCACATAGCGATTTTAAAATAGAAAGTTCTGGTTAACAGAGAACATAACACTGTTTCTCGTCTCATTGAACTCCATCTAGGAGGGAAAATCAGGGAAGCTCCTTATTCATGCATGTATTATCTATATTTATCAACAATCAGAGGGAAAAGGAAATTGTTGGGCAAATTCTCAGCCAAGCGGAGCCTCTGAGGACCTTTTTGAAAGAGAATTGCTGAGGCTCGGGGATTCCTCAGGCCCAGCTGCATTTCTGTGCGAGTGTCTAGCTATTTTGAGTGCTGTTGAGGGAACAATATGAGTTGTACAGAGGCTCGCAAAAGAGACAACTCTGATGCCGGCAGTTTAGAAGGGTAAGAACAAAGCATCCTGAATTTTGCCTGTGGGTTTGCCCTGCGGGGGAGGGATTCCTGGTCCAATAAACCCAGTTGGCAGGATTCTGTTTGGAGGCCTTGGTGTCATTGTTAAATCGGGCCACAGTAAAATAGGAAACGGCTTCGTAGACAGCCACTCCAAGAGCAGAAATGAAAGTCCACCCTGCCTCTGAGCCCTCAGCTTCTCTCTGGCCTCATCCTTTCCCACCACAAGGGTGAGAACCTTCAAGAAAGTCTCCCATTTTCCTCGGCTTTCGGAAGAAACCGAATAATCACGGAAGACAAATCCGAAGGTGTGTGTTCTGTACTTCCTGTCACTCAGGTGCTGTGTAGAGACCCTTTCAACACCTGAGTCAGCAGCTCACCCCCATTTCTCATCAGTGGCCACCCCAAAGGGGAGTCACTAGCACCCAGGGAGAGACACACTTACCCCTAGTCGGCTCAGGTCCTCTCTCGGGCCAGGGCCCCTCCTCTGGCCAGCAGGATGGTGCCTTCCACTGTCCCCATTTCTATGGCTGTGCTGGGGCAGCCTCTGGCCAGAGCCCTGAGTGTCTGTGGCTTTTAGGCCTTTCCCCTCTCCCTTTATGGAATCCAGGATTTTAAAGTAAACAATTCTTTCTCTTTCTGATAAGTCACATTAAATTATCGATTTGGGGGGGGAGGGAGGGCATGACCTTGGGCCACTAAGTCAGCGTCACCTTTGGTCAAACACACAGGAGCATTCCTTCCTCTGCTGTGGGGGTGTGCACGGCCCTCAGGTGGCCATGGAGGCCGCAGGGCAGAGCAGGCTGAGCAACTGTGGACACATCCCCCCACCCCAAACCCAGGGTTCACTTGCTTAACTCTTTCCTCACAGGCAGATAACAGTTTATTACATTGTCACCTCCTCAGATTTCTAGAGCCAGAAGAGTCATCTGAAGTTAGGAGTTAAATATGCCCTTGGGGTATCCTACTTCACACTCTCCACCAATTTCATTCTGCTCTAGAACTGGCCATTTCTGACAGAGTTACGCTCGATTCATCTGTTCACTCCAACAATTACTTATAAAGCACCTTCTTATCATTGGTAGCGGGATGGGGAGCAGAGCAAACAGAGCGACCCATCTGGCCATGAGGACAGATTCATGAGGACACTCCAGCCACCCTTGGAGGCTGCCCTGGTCCTCCATGTATTCTCTTGTTGGCTACCATTTTTATTGTTTCTGATCATTTCTTTTCCTCCTTAGGCAATATTGTGGTTTTGCTTTCTTAAGCTTTAACAGAATATTATTTGTTACTCTCGCTAGTACCAATCTGAATGGAGTCTGCTCATTTCAGTCAAAGCTGACGACCTGAGGAGCTGGCGGCCTGAATTTAGGGAGCAGGTACCCCACACTTTCTTTTCATTGTCATAAATCTTCCAGTTGAAAATGAAAAGCAAAGTATACTGTGGCTTTTTCTTTTTCATGCCTAAGAACTGATCTCAACAAATGAGCCCAAAGAGTGGTCACTGCTGTTTGGTCCTGTTGCCGCCCTCTCAGTTCCTGTGGGACATGAAGTTCTTTCCCTGATTGCCTCTATCTGAGGAAACCTGGCACGCTGGAGAAGTCCAGGGTCTTCCATGGGGCCTGAGGGATTCATATAGTAAAAACCCAAACATGCATCCGGAGATGGGGAAAACACCCCAAGGGCCTTCTGGAAATTGCCAAGGCCTTGTACTCTCCAGTTTTACTCAGTGGAC